GTACAAAAACTCAAAAATCGAATTTTTAAACTAGTTTTTTTAGACTGCAGGCTAAACTAAAACCACAATCGATAAACCAAAGTAATATTTGAAATTAGGAAGACCAAATTAGTCAGATTTGACACTCACATAGTAACAAAGCGCTAAATTACAATTTTTCACTTGTACCCAAATCGGGAAATTTTGGTGGAAATAAAACAAAATTACTGCTTTTCGCCATTTTAAAAATTCATGTTTTAAATAATACAATTTGCGGTAATAGTTTAACATTTTGAGCATTTTATTTCACAATTTAAAATTTGAAAATATTTCGAAAGTCTATATTCAAAAAATCAATATTTTCTAATTTAAATTCAATTTTAAATTAAAAGTTTGTGTACCTTACGTAGAATTTTTTTGTGATTACGAATCTCTTCGCAGAATTTTTCTATAATAAATAGTTTTTAAGATATTGACTCAAAAATTGTTCAAAAACTCAAAAATTGAATTTTAAAACTAGTTTTAGTAGGCTGTGGAGCAAAATAAAACTCAAAACAATAAACCAAGATTATATTTGAATTCAGGAACACTAAAATAGTCAGGTTTGACTCCTTATTTGTGCCAATACACCAAACTAAAATTTTTCACATGGACTCAAATCGGGATATTTTGCTGGCAATTAAAAAAAATCATTATTTTTCGTCGTTCTTAAAGCACATACTTCGAATAACGTAATTTGCGTTAATAATTTAACATTTCGGGCGTTTTATCCATAATTTGATAATTTTTAGAGCCTACCTACACATTAAAAAATCTATATTTTTCAATTCAAGTTTAATTTTAAGTGAAAAGTTGACATTTTTTATTCAAAATTTTCCAAAGATTTCAAATCCGTAACCAGAATTCTTCTCCAACAAATAGTTTTTAAGATTTTGACTCAAAAATCAAATTTTTAAAATTGTTTTAGAAGGCTGTGGACCAAATCAAAACCCCAATTAAACCACCCTCACACTTTGTATCAAAAGCGCCCAATTAACCCGATTTAACCCCCAAAACGCCAAACCACAACTTTTCACATGGACTCAAATCGGGAAATTTTGGTGGCAATAAAACAAAACCACTGTTTTTGGCCATTTTAGAAGCAAATATTTTAAATAACATAATTTTGGGCGTTCTATTTTACAATTTTATAATTTTTTAAAAGTAAACAATAAAAATCCAAATTTTTCAATTCCAATTCAGGTTTAAATCTCCATTCGAAATTCCTCTACAATAAATATTGACCAAAAACCGAATTTCAAAACTAGTTTTAGTAGGCTATGAGCCAAACTAAAACCCAAATCGTTAAACCAAGATCATTTTTGAAATCAGAAAGTCCAAAAAAGCCAGATTTGACCCCCAAATTCTAAAAATAACTCAAACCAAAGCTTTTCACTTGGACTCAAATCTGGAAATTTAGTGGCAAACAAAACCAAATGCTCGTTTCGCGTAATTTAAAGTATTAAACGTTGTTTTTGACTCCTTGACAGTAATACCAACCATAAATCACCGACTTAAATCCCCCCAAACGCGAATGGTGTCGTAACCAACTTGTAACATTAAAATTCCTCAGTGTTTACACGACACAAAAAAAATCACTGCTTCTTCAACGCTAGAAAAAGACAGATAATTGGGTTTGTTGGTGCGAAAGTGAGACAGAAAGCGATTTAAAGCACCGTTTTAAGTCTCACACTTGTGTTACAACTTTTCTGAATAAATTTTAGCAATAAATATTTTTTTTTTTAATTTTCTTACCTGAACGGCACTATTTAGGAAACAATTATTCTGTCCCGGCCCATTTAGCAGACCTTTGGTGCTGGTAAATGTCATCGAATCCCTCGATGGGGTGGCTATGGAGATGGGCAAGGGATGGAGGGAAACAGCCGGCGTCGCCATGGCGCTTCCTCTCTACATGGTGTCCTGAAAACGACAAGTGACCATTTAGACCATTTCCGGTACCATTTGTTCCCATCATGGTATAAAATTGTAAAATCGTAGACCACATTGTATGACCAATTCGACAATAAATCGACTAGGAATGTGGTTTATGGTTGTTTATATTTAGTTTAGAATTTTGACGCCATTTTGGCAATTATTTTGATTGAAAATTCCAGTGGGAAGCTTGCGTAAAACTTGACGTTTCATATGCGACGAAAATAGTTCGTAAATATTGACGTTGAGTCTATAATTAATGCACTTCTAAGAAAGGTTACGAAAATTTGATCAAGATCAGTGTTAATTAATTAATTAAAAAAAAAAAAATTGCAAGGTCACTCTGTAATTAACAGTAGGCTTGACTTATACAGAATTTTCCGAGGATTCCAAATCTGTAATTATTTTTTTTCTAGGACAAATACTTTTTGAGATATTTGCCATTAAATGAAACGAAAAAAAAAACCTATATCATTTAGTTTTAGCAGGCTGTGGGTCAAACTAAAGCCCAAATTGCTAAACCAACGAAATATTTGGAATCAGAAGGGCCGAATTAGTCAAATTTGATCATCAGATTATCATAAAATGCTAAACTACGACTTTTCACATGAACTCAAATCTGGAGATTTCGGTGGCAAAAATTAAAAAAACAATGTTTTTAATACAAAACAACTTTTTTTGGTATATACTGAWAAAGAGTATTTTATATTTTTAGTTCCACATTTAATCAAGTTTTTAATTGCARAAAAACTCAAAAATAAAGTTTCAGACTAAATAAAAACGAAAATCGTCAAAATTAGGCCAAATTTGTGATTAAAACGGTCAAATTAGTCGGTTTTGACCATCAAATGTGAAACCAAGACATTTCACATGAACCCAAATCTGGA